CTGCATTCTTCATTTCTTAGTTTCTTTATGTTCAGTGTTCAGTTAATGAACCTGGGACTTTGGCACCCACACATTATACACTTCCAGCTAGGTTGCCAACTTGTTTTTTAAAAAATTATAAAAAATATTTTCTTTAAGAAAAGGTGGGATATAGAAGGGAAGAAGGGTAGAGGGAAAGTATAGATGCGTCAGGTTTGTCACATATTATGAGTTGTTACGTACAACAAGTAAAATCAGATGTATTACCAAATGTATTACATATTTCAAAGAAAATAAATATTACATCAATATTACAGAATTTTGGGATAGATTCTCTCTTTAAACAATAAACAAGAACTTTGCTAAAGTTAGCGATAATCTATTAAATAAAAGAGATTATATCTTTAACAATTGAATGAACTTCTATGCTAAAATTAAATCATTGTAAAAAACTTAATAGTCTTAATTGTTTATATAAATCTAAATTTATTCATACTAATTATTTAATTACTAGTGGAGTACAAAGTCAAGTATTGAAATTGTAATCAATATCTTCATCACCTTTAATATGATATTCAGATCATTCCAGAACTTTAAAAAGTTAATTATTCCCGTAGTATGAGTAATAAGCTTGCAATTTCTGCTGAAATTCTTTCAGTGGTCTTTTTTTATATAATCAGTTAGTTTTGCCAATGTTGCATACTCAACTAGTTTTTCTTTCCCGGTCTCTATTGTAGAACAGTCTTCTGTCTTGACTGCAAATATTACTCTGGCAGCTGTCAACATAAATCTAAGTAGGTTTTGTGAGGTTCTGTCTATATTATCTGGTAAAATTCCCAGTAACATAGTCTCTGGTTTCATTGGGAATTTGGTTTTTAAAATATTTTGAATTTCTTCATGTATATTTTACAGTATTTTTTAATCTTGTTGGAAGTCCACCACATATGATAAAAGGTGCCATGTTCTTTTTTACATTTCCAGCAAGCTGCTTTGTAATTCTTGTCCATCTTTTCAATTTCTTTTAGGGTGATGTACCATTAGTAAAACATCTTGTACCAGTTTTCTCTTAATGCTTGGCTAGCAGTTAATCTAATACCTTTAGTCCATAGATTTTCCCAACATTAAAACTGTACTTTCTCACCAAAATTTTGCATCCATTTAATCATGCAAGATTTAACCCGTTCTCCTTAGGAATCATATTGAAGTAATAACTTGTAAATTTGTCCTAATAAATGGTATCTAGTGTGAAAATCTTTTCAAAATCAGTCAGTTTATTAATAACTCCTCTCTTAGTGCAGATATAATTTTTTAATCTAGAAGTAATTTGAAAGTATATCCACCATTATATCTGCTTTCCTTCTCTTGCCATGTCTTGATGCCACCTTGCGAGTTTATCATATCATCATAAATTATAAAATCATTGTTTCTCCTTGTGTACTGACCATAGTAAGCATCTATTGGTGACATTATTAATGGAATTGTAGGGCTGATTCTCTTTTGCAGCATTTCCCAAATTTTAAATAAGCTGTCTCTGATTGTATGTCTTTTATCTTGGGTTTTATTTTTTGATATGTTTTTTAATCTACATGCAGCTATGTAGTCCATCATCAAGATTTGAAGATTCTAATTTTATCAATCCTTCATTGGGACTTCTGATCCAATCTGATATCTAAACTAGCCCAGTGGGTTGGTTATATAATTTAATGTTAGGTATTGCAAGACCACCTCTTTTCTTCTCATCTTGCAGTACTTTAAATCTTATTCTTGGCTTCTTATCTTTCCATACAAACATATTTATTTGTCTTTGCCAGTCACTCAAAATCTTTTCAGGAATTTAAATTGGAATAATCTGTAACCAAAAGTTTAATTTTGGTAGCACATTCATTTTTATAGCAGAAATTCTTCCTAGCCAGAATAGATGTAATTTGGACAATCTTTCAAAATCTTTTTGTATTTTGGATCAAGTTGTCATATAATTGTCCTTTAATAATGTATCATTCTGTCCCATGAGATATATTCCTACCTATCTGACTGGGTTGTTTGTTATATCACATCCTGAAATTTTCTTAATTTTCCTCTTCTTGAATAGCTGAGAATTTTAAAATAATCTTGGTTTTCTTTTACTTTTTATAACCTGAAAAGGATTCAGACTTGTCAATTTGCTCCATTACATGTTGGAGAGATAGCTCGGGGTTCGAAATTGTAAGAACCAAACCATCTGCATAACTCTTTTGTTTAAACTCCTTTTCTTCTACTTTAATCCTTCAATTTGGGGATCTTGTCTTATTTTAGAAGACTGCCATCACAAGAATGAAGAGAAGTGGAGAGAGTGGACATCCTTGACAGGTTCCTTTTTCTGTTTTAAATCCATTTGTCAAGACCCCGTTGATTAAAATTTTTGCATGTTATTTGGTGTAGATGTTCTGTATCCACACTTGAAATATTGCAGTGTTTTTTGTAGAAAAGTCCAAGATACATTATCAAAGGCTTTTTCAGCATCTAAGAACAAAAAGGCTGCTTTTTCACCCTTGTGTTTAACATGTTCTATCGCATCAACAACAAAACAAACATTGTCTTTCATATGTCTTTTTGGTACAAAACCAGTCTGATCAGGATGAATTACTTTGGAGATACTTTTCTTTAGTTTATCAGCCATGATTGAGGTAAAAATTTTGTAGTCCACATTCAACAATGAAATAGGTCTATATGATTGTGGCAGCATTGGGTCATTATTCTCTTTATATAGTAACATTATGTGAGCTTCTTGCCAGGATGGTGGCCTTTTACCTAGAAGATCAGGGCAGGCCTGGTGTAATTTAGCTGGTCAGCAGCACAGATGGGATTCAGTTCTGCAGACTGGGGCCAACCCAGAAGTGTTTATGGGCAGAGTCCATCAAAATCTAGTTTTTACTGGGTTTTTAGCCCCCAATATGTGTTTCATGACAGAACACAAGCTTACTTGTCAGGCTGTTGAAATCAGTTGGCAAAGCTACTTCCAGCATATTCCTAAATAAGGAACTTATCGGTGCTTTTCATTGTCCTCTGATTCTCTTCCCTTTCCTCTTCAAGGGTTCTTCTCTGGGAGGGGGACAGGGGTTGAAGCAGGGGTCTGGAGTCTGGTCTCACTCACTGGTTCCTATGACAGCGCAATATGGCCTCGGATGGATGGAACAGAATTGTCAACCCCACTGTCACTTCCTCCTTGACCCTGACTCCCCTCCTCTCAGCAGAGCTGCAGGGTGCCTCCCTCTCAGCCTCTCCCTTCTTTGCAGACTCCCAAGCCATGCCTACTTCCCATTTAATTTCCTAGTTTGTGAGGATCGGTAGATTCTTGGGATGGGAAAGCATCCGTCCATTCCCCTTTGCAACTGAAGTTGTCTCCTGCTGCCACTTTCTGACTGCCTGTGCCAGTGGCATAGCCTCCAGAATGTCCTTCTGCTCCTGTTTCCCTTCTAGTGCCTCTCCTTCCTCTCCTCTTCTCCCCACATATATAAAATATAACAAAAATGAAGGAAATAAAAGATAATCCACTGCGTTTCTGAGTGCACGTCTCACTTTTCTAAGACTTCACTAACACATATTGGAGTGAATATGTAACACTCTTCCCTTTATTTCCCAAATATTTTCTGTGGCTATTGTAAGAAATTGTAAGAATATTGAACCACCACTAATTACAGTTTCTGAAATATACTCATCTCTGTCTGGCTTTGTAGATGCTTTCATTAAACCACTGGAGCCCTGGTGCACAGAAGTACACTGAGTCCCAGAGAAGATATTTGTTGCTTTTGCTGAAGTCAAAACGATCTCTTGGGTATGTTCTTTAGTGAGCAGAAGACCTGGAATTACCTCCTCAACCAGCTATTGCACTCCAGTTAGCAAATGAATAAACACAATACTTGTATATTCATTACTGAGCCTTGACAAATAAATCTCCCCCTACACACAGAGAATATTTTACTGTCCTACAGCCTATACCAGGGGTGGCCAAACTTGCTTAACATAAGAGCCACACAGAATAAATGTCACATGGTTGAGAGCCGCAAGACATGAACAAATATTACACGTTTTTACTGGGAAATATGCAGATTTGCTTTTTATTAACATTAAATGAGACTGCCAAGAATAATATCAAAAGCAGTAGAAGCAGATATTGATAATGATATTTATTTGTCCAATGATATTTGTTTGCTAGTGATATTTAGCTTCCCCAGCCACCTTGCTGAGAGCTGCACAATATGTGTGAAAGAGCCGCATGCGGCTCCCGAACCACAGTTTGGCCACCCCTGGGCTATACTCTCAATATTGTTTCATGCTCCCAAGCTCCAAACAGTGATAAGTTCCAGAGGCCAGGCTACCAGTTTCATCCTTTTGACAAGAGAACTCTGGAGACTTAACAGCATATTGCCAGCCATGCAGTTCTTCCAGTGGAATGGCATTCCCATTGGCAGGCCAGCAGTTTCTGTTGATTCCCTCTTTGACTGCAGACCCCACTTTACCCCATGCTATTCCTGAGGGTCTTCTGACCACTTAGGAACAAAATGGGTGGGTCTATGGGCTGTAGCAGAAGGGGAAAGTCCTGCTCTGCAAAGTCCATGGAAGTATAGGCGCCTGACATTATGTCTTTGCAGTTCACAAATCTATAAGCAGAACATACTGGAAGCAAGCAGACATGGCAACCTCTGTCCATGTCATTGCAAAAAAACCCCCCATATTTTGCCATAGTATCTGAACAACAAACTATGGTTTATGCTTGCCCTCCAAGCCATAATTGCGAACCAGGAGGATCAAATGTGACTTGGAAACCTGGCTGGGAGTACAAGAACAAATCAAAGCTTGCAGTTTGGAATGTAAGGGGAAAGTATAGTTTAATGCAAAAGAAAGGGAATTGCACCATGTGAAGGGAGGAAGGAGTGAGACAATTTAGTCCACAAGCCCAAGGGTCACTCATGTAGCACCAGATTTGAACCCAACCTCATGTCTCTCCAAATTTAAACTAAGCCTTCTTGTTTATTATTATTTATAGTCTGCCTTTCTCACTGAGACTCAAGGTGGATTGCTTTTATTTATCTTGCTTACATTATTTGTAGTCCATCTTGCTCACTTGGATTTAAGGCGGATTACACAGAGAGAGTCAACACAACAGGATGCGGCATTCAATAAACAATACAATAGGATTAGGGTTGTAGAACCAATCAGAAATCTGAAAATAGAACTAAAGCAAAGTATAAGTCTTAACATGACACATTAAATGAAACAGAAATTACAACATAGGATCCTTGTTTCTAGAAGCGAAACACTGTGGTATAGACGACAGTGTCTAATAATTTACCTGTAACTCTGTGAATTGTTTAGTACACCAAGTGCGAGATCCCCAAATTTAGTAATGCGATAGGAACAGCATAAGAAGAAGAAGAAGAGATTGGATTTATACCCCGCCCTTCACTACCCGAAGGTGTCTCAGAGCAGCTTACAAACTCCTTTCCCTTCTCCTCCCCACAACAGACACCCTGTGAGGTAGGTGGGGAGACATATAATAAACAGGGCAATAAGTCTGAAATACAAAATTAGAAAACGATGCAATAGAAACAATATGAGATGTTATTTATTTAGAACATTTCAATGATGCCTCTCCATGAACCATCCCAAGGTGGCGGTGGTAGTGATGGAGGAGGAGGAAAGTGCCATCAAGTTGCAGTTGGCTTATGATGACCCCATCGGGTTTTCAAGGGAAGAAACGGTTTGGCATGGCCTGCCTCTGTTTAGCATCTCTGGGATTCCTTGGTGGTCTCCCATCCAAATACTAAGCAAGGCTGACCCTGGTAGTTGACAGAACAAAAATAATAAAAACAAATCATTAAAAGATAAAACCCAAAGCAACAGGAACTTAATGGTGAGTAAAATGAGAATGCGGGAAAGCGCATTAATTAAAATCCAGCATTTTAAAAGCCCCAGCCCAACATAGAAAACATAGATGATAAAAACAGATCACAGACAGCTTAAAGCAACAGTTTCCAGACTAAAATAATGTTTAAAAAATATCAACCCCTTAATTAAAATCCTGGGTGAACCGAAACATTTTGGCCTGGCACCTAAAAGAAAGCAACGTAGCCACTACACAAGCCTTAAGGGGAAGGGCGTTCTATAAGCAAGGTGCCACTACCGAAAAGTCCTGTCTCTGATTGCCACCTGCCTCCCCTCTGAAGGTGGGGACACAGAGAGCAGAGTTTGTGAGGCAGATCTTAACCGGTGCCCTGGGCAATATGGGAAGTGGTCCTTCAGGTACCCTGGCCCCAAGACATTTAGGGCCATAAGACTGCAAAAACTGGATTACAGGAATGAGAAAACAATGCAACAAAACCAAGAAAGGCATACAGTGAACAGTGTCGTAAGCCACCGCTGTTATCCCTTTATTAAAGCATCTTCCTGAACAATTCTAATTTTACTACTGCCCTATAAAAATGCTCTGCTGAACAATTCCATTTTACACATTCTGTTGGATGATAAAGTTATGGGAGCCTTTCTGACCTCCTTGGGCAGGCCGTTCCACAAAGTGGGAGCCAGCAATCTCAGATTCAGGCAGCTACAGATCTTGTTCGTTTGCAGGACAGGACCTTCAAGAGACTTGTGAGTTGTCCCATGGACAGCGACTAATCCTGGAGCAGCTTCTTAAATGTAAGAAAGAATGCAGGGGAGTCATATCTCACAAGACTGGAGGGAAAACACACAAATGTTGAGTGTCTGCAGTCACTCACCTTACGTATTGCCATTCTCAGATGGCTGCTTTCAGAAGCGGATGCGACTTGTGAGAGTGTGTCTGCACCTTTCAGATTTATTATGATTAAAAGCTGCCCTATGGCTAAAGGAAACTGGGCTTGGCACAAAGAAGGATCCACATGGGATACAAAATTAAACAAAGGCGGCAATTTGCATGCAACATCACCGAGACAAAAAGAGGCAGCTCCTACATGGGCTCATTTTACTTTGTGTGAGTTTGCTAATGATACAACTTTCTGTAAATTCCTATTCACCTGTATAGGGTTCTGAGAAACATGTTAGTATTTCCAAGTGGGGCAGAATAAAGGGCTGGCCATGAGTCCAGGCATAAAAAAGCTGGTGGCAGCTGTGGCCTACCCTAGTGTAAAGCTGACACGAGTGAACACAGCTGTACTTTAATTCAGCCTTTTGAAGGCCTGTCAGAATTGATCCATTGAGAGGAAACGGGCTCTGATACCAGGATGGATGCAGGGCTGAGACTCAGATCTTTGCATTCAGGAATTTCCAGAGCCTGGCATACTGGGATTGTGCAAGGTATTTAAACAAAGATTGTCTGCCATAACAAAATCTGTCATTGCCTGGAACAATGCTTTTGTTAGTCTCCAAATGTGTGACCCTTACATTATGTGCTCTTCTGGTTCACCTGTTTTCACTTCTGGGGTCTGTGAAGTTTTCCATTTTTCTCCCACCACCTATACATACTCCTTTATCATTTGAATCAGAGAAGAAAATGTTGACAGTCATTCTTAAACTGCAGAGACCATAACATGTTTGGGTTCGGACTTTAAGTACCAACTCTCAGGGGTCAATGCCTGGCTGCAGAGCAAGAACTGCCTGGTGGACAAGACCCTGGAGAGAGAGACTGTTTGTTTGTTTTCAGAGGAGCTCTGCAGACAACTGTTGGCAGGTGTTGGCCTATAACTAGTCCCCACAGAATCAGGTAGCAGGAGATAGTGGCTGAATTCCCTGTCCCTTCAAAAACACAACTTATCCACAATATATTTATGAACATGTGAGTTGGTTATTTTTTTGTAGTGCATACATGCCTTCTTTTAGATACTTTTCCATCTCTTTCTTTTTTCCATCCTCCATTCTGAAGATCTGAAAAACAGGAATATTTCCTTCTTCCAGTCAGGATCCTCCCCCTAAAATACACCTTCATTTTTCCTCTGTGCTCTTCAGGTTGTTTTCCCCTTTCCATCTGTCTTCACTCTTTGGAACATCTTGTGTCTGGCTTCACGCTTGTTTACATAACGCAGAACACTTCTGGAACACTCGGTTATCTCAGAAGTATTAACAGTTTATTTCACATCCCCTTTTTAAAAAGATTGCACACATCCATATATCTAAGAACAGAGATAACAGTGAGGGCAGGAGAATAAATGCAGACACACCTGGAGTTCTAGGAAGATGAAACTGGAAAAGGTCTGAACGTCGCTCAGGAGAGATCTATCGTGCCTATATATTCCTATACTAAAGTTTGGCTCCAGGGCCATTCACACCTAAAAGCCACTGTATTCAAGACCAAACATCGTTTCTCCAGGACCAGTACAAACCTGCAACCCAGCTCTTGCATGCACACACACTCAAAGAGGGTTACCAACCTCCTGGTGGTAGCTGGAGATATCTCATTATTACAACTGATCTCCAGGCCACAGAGATCACTTCACCTGGAGAAAATAGCCACTTTGGAAGGTAGGCTCTAGGGCATTATATCCCATTGACGTCCTTCCCCACTCCAAACCCTGCCCTCCTCAGGCTTCACCCCCCCCCCAAACCTCCAGGTATTTCCCAACTCAAAGTGGGCATCTCTGTGTGTGTGTGTGTGTGTGTCACACACACACCTGTTTTTCTGCAGCACCACATGGAAATCATCTTCCAAAAGAGGTGTGAAAACTAGAAATTTCACTAGAAAGGGAACTGTTTTGCATCTGGCAGTTGTGTAACATGGCTGTTTCACTTGGTTGAGACTGGGCCTTGACCTGTACTGATATTATTGAATTGATTGTTTCTGGAGTGGTTTGTGGATTTTGTAAAACCACAATGGACTTTGCAGAAAATAGTACATACATTGTA